TTTTCGGAAGATCGGGAAATGAATCTGCTTAAAGATGTTGATCTTCCTGTTAACCTTTGAACCTCTTTCATATTTGATAGCTGGTTGGGGATGTCCTTGATGGATTTCATTTTATCGGGATTGACTTCGACCTCTCTTTGAGACACCAGGAACCCCAAGAATTTTTTGGAACTGACTCTGAATGCACATGTTCGGGGCTAAGCTTCATGTTGTGCTTCCTTAGGATGTCAAAGGTTTCTTGGAGATGTTTAAGATGATCACATGCGTTCAAAGACTTAACCAACATATCATCTATGTAAACTTCCATGGTTTTCCCTATTTGTTTTTCTAACATTTTATTCACAAGCCTCTGATAGGTGGCTCCAGCGTTCTTGAGCCCGAAAGGCATCACATTATAAAAATATATGCCAAAGTTTTGTTATGAACGAAGTTATTTCCTGATCCTCCGGTTCATTTTGTTTTGGTTATACCCGAAATAGGCATTGAGAAAACTCATCAACTCGTGCCCGGCCGTTGCATCAATCATTTGATCAATGTTTGGTAATGGGAACGAGTCTTTTGGGCACGCCTTATTCAGATCCTTATAATCTATGCACATGCTAAATATATTATTCTTTTTAGGAATTACTACTACGTTAGCTAGCTAGTCAGGATGCTTTATCTCCCGGATTGATCTGATATCAAGCGATTAAGTTACCTCTTCTTGGACAAATTTTTTCTTGACCTCGGCAATAAGGCGTTTCTTCTAACTTACTGGAGGGATGTTAGGATCAAGGCTTAGCTTATGCACGGCCACCTCTAGCAGAATATTTGTCATATCCGCATGCGACCACGCAAAACAGTCAGCGTTAAATTTAAGAAATTCTATAAATCCTTACCTGAGTTTGGGGTTTAGTCCTGTCCCCAAGTGGAACTTCCTTTCCAAGAATTTCTCAAACAATGCGACTTGCTTGAGTTCTTCCGTTGTGGATTTGATTGCGTCTGTTTTATCTGGTATCTGGAAATATCTTGGTACCTGATAGGATTCTGGTGACTCCCCCCTACTGATTTCATTCGGCTCGGGAGCAGGCGTCGGTTCCCGTAATTTTTATGTCGCATGTTCCTTCCCTTTGCTACTAGAAACTAAGATAGTGTCCATCCCCCTTGTTGCCGGTTGATCTCCTCTTATTTGCTTAATTCCCTCCGAAGTTGGGAATTTCAGAAGTTGATGGTATGTTGACGGTACATCTTTCATCTCATGTAACCATGTTCTTCCAAGAATAATATTGTAGCCCATATCGCTGTCTACTACTTCAAAAATGGTCGTCTTCATTACCCTTTCGGCATTCGTGGGCAGCAAAATCTCCCCTCAGGTTGTCACGCTTGCTAAATTGAACCTGGCGAGGAGTTTTGTGGCCGGAATGATGCCTCCAGTCATCTTGGCTTGTTCCAGCACTCTCCATTGGATAATATTGGCTGAACTCCCTGGGTCATCAATACCTTTGTCTTTTTTTTGTTGCCAAAAGGGTTACACCATTAATCTCGTTCCCCCCAAAAATCATGTTGATTGTTAGACGAGGGGGATCCTCTCCTACTTTTTAGGGTTCTGCGTTATCCCGGTTGTGGCCGTAGTTGGTCTTAGCCCAGTCGCTTAAGAATTTTTTGAGATGGTCGTTTTTCAGCAATGTCACCACCTCCTCACGTAGATGTCGGTAGTCCCCAGCCTGATAGCCGTTGGTCCCATGGTACTCGCACTATAGATTAGGATCCCTCTGACTGGGATCGGAGCTCATTGGCTTCGGGAACCGTGCATCCTTAATGTTCCTCATAGCTGATACCAGTTCCACTATGCTGACATAGAAGTTATATTCGAACAATCTGGGGTAGGTGGAAACCCGGTAGCCCGATACCTCTTTGTCCTGCAATGATCTGTTATTCCGACCATGATCAGTTCTCCTATCGGTAGTGAATATAACTTCCATCCGGAAACCTCTACCGCGTTCTTTGTCCCTTTCGTAGAGAAACAATTGACCTCTGGAAAGCCGTCGGTCTGCGTTGAAATCATCCTTCAACTTTTCTTTTTTCTTTTCTCGGTCCCTACCCTTGGTTGATGCCGAGAAACCGAGATGGTCATCCTCTATTCTTATCTTTCACTCGTAGCGGTTGTGTACATCTGCCTATGTTGTTGCATGGAACTCGAGCAAACTTTCTTTCAGTTTTCAGGAAGCGTCTGAGCTCCTCGGATTCAGCCCTTTAGTAAATGCCTCAGTTGCCCATTCATCCGGCACAGCCGGTAGCAACATCTTTTCCTTCTGAAATCTGGTCACGAACTCCTGCAGCAATTCGGACTCTCCTTGCGCAATCCTGAATATGTCGCCCTCCCGGGCTTGCACCTTCCTGGCCTTGGCATGGTCCTTGATAAAAGAATTCACAAGCATCTCGAAGGAATCTACTGAGCGCTCGGGTAAGAGTGAATACCATGCCAGGCCCCTTTCGTGAGGGTCTCCCCGAACTTCTTCAACAAGACTGACTCAATCTTGTGCGGAGCTAAGTCGTTTCCCTTCACCAATGTTGTGTAGTTGGTTATGTACTCCTGAGGATCCGAAGTCTCATTATATTTTGGTACGTCGGGCATTTTGAATTGCTTCGAGATCAACTTTGGTGTTGCGCTTGGTTTGAACGGCAACTGATTGTATTTCTTTGAGTCTGGTCCATTCAATACTGGCGGTGTACCCGGGATTTGGTCCATTCGGGCGTCTATTTCCCTCATAAACTGCATGACTTCGGTTTTAATAGGATCATTCTCGTTATTGTTACCGGATCTGGTGTCGTTCCCCCCAGCCATGTCGAAGACGACTTCACCCCTTGGGGTGTTGTTATCAATCCTTTGTACTGTTTGGTTTGCGGGAGCACCAGAAGGAATTGGACCTCTCCCATTTGTATTTTTGGAAGCACCGATAACGTTTGCCTCAAATCCGTCATGACCTAATCCTGTCACGAGAGATGGCTCATAATAGCTTTTTGTTGTTCCCTCAGGATTCTCACTGTTTCCGCAACGTGCTCGTCTTCAGTATCATCAGGAGTTACCTCCTGAACATGTCGTGAATATTGCACGCCATGGACCGGCGTGGCCTCATCCCCCTCGTTGCAGGTGTCACTAATCGAATTTTTGTGATGAGGCTGATTTTCTTGGGCATCAGCATTATGCGTGATGTAATTAACATCGTTATCTGTCCTTTTTTATGATTTTTTGCTAAGAAACAAAGAATTTAACAGGTTAGTGTAGATGCAAGGATCAACTCAATTATGCAATTGTCTAAGCCCCACGGTGGGCACCAAATTGTTTAGCCGTAAAATAGTACAGTTGAATTTGTAACGTGATTTATAGACAAGCGAATTGATTTGATCCCAAAATGATAAACAGATTAAATAAAATGCAAGGCTTAGCATTGAAATCGAGATAAAGCAGCAGATAACTTTGGTTCCGGGAGCAGAGCTCCCGAAGGCAGTAATACAAATACTATTAAACAAGAAATAAAATATTATTGACCTTTTGAATAGTATATAGCATTTGTTAGAAAATTCATTTTTCTCTAATGGCTGTTAAAGTCACTATTTATAGTTGCACCTACGGAACAAGGTTCTAAGATCAAGCCCCTCTTATATGGCAATTATGGGGGCCATTGAAGAATGTGTAACGGCATGCCATGAATGTCGTAATTCTCTATAAAAGACTATGTATTTAATACTTCAGAATATTCTTCATTGAATGCTACTGAGTGACAAGCATTCATTTGCCTTCATGAGCAATATTCTCTTCGGGGGCTTCCCGGTGCCAATCGAAACTGCTCCCCCGACCTTGATTTCTATCTGTCTTACTTTTCATCTGTCTCTGGTTCCATGTGTCGCTCTATTATACGAGTATTTCATATGAACTAATTTTACCCTTTGGTGCATGGGAAAAGGGGTTAAAATGACACACACCATCTTTCAATCTGAAGGCGGTCTAAACTCCGAAAAGCTTATCAACATGAAAACTAAACCACTTGCATTATTCAACTTAATTAATCTTTATTTAGTCCAAAATCTAAAGATCTTTTTTACCACGTTTTATATGTCATAACTGGAAAATCTTACTGTTACTTTTCTTTGGACCACTCTTTCAATTTTTTCATATCATAAAGAATAAAATGGGTACATATATGTACGTATATATATAGCATGTAAAACTCATTTTCAAGCACTATTTAAGTCAAACGTAGACATCTGATTCGCGAAATAATTATTTTTTTTCTTGAGAAGATAGTAAGCTATATATGCGTCATATTACATGGAGGGACTAGTCTAGTATACTTTGTTCCTTTACGGTCTTGAACATAAAAGCTACTAACAAAAATGGGGAAGGGTACTCATAATTAAAAATTCTGTCATAAATTTTTTGCTTTGAACAAACGTACATATTTGATACCTTTGAGTAACGACTTCGTTATTATATTATGCCAGATAATATGGCAATTGCCTGAAAAAAATGCAGGGTGAGGGTAAGCAACTAAGCATGTCGCAGTTTGACATATACATTTTCAAATGTAACCCACTTAAGAAGAAAAGAAGAAGACCTCATGCTTCATCCAATCTTAAAAGGCAAGGTTTTAGATGATTAAAGAAAGAAAATTTAGCCAGCTAAAGAATAGCATATGAGAAATGTAAAATGTACAAAAATCTAAGAAGGTAAAGTAGAATACTTTACACTTCGTTCAATCTAAAAAATCCAAGTTATATAGTACCTTATACAACAGATGGCGCCCGAATTTCGAAGAACAAAGAAAATTAGGTTAATCAATTTGGGGTGGGGGAGGGGGGGGAGGAGAAGAGAACCACATGCAGCAATGTGATCATCAAGCAGGTGTGGAAAAGATTAACCGAAACAGAGACGATGATACTGACAATTATACATTCATCTATATCACAAATAGATTTAACTGTTAAAATTTTCCTTTCACCTGTCAACTTAATTGGTGGCATTAGAAATCAGTCTGACATATTTCGGATTTAATCTTGGATTTATTTGTCATCAATGATTCCACGTCGAAATCACACGTAACAATCAAATTCTTTTTCAAATCTTTTGCCCAGCTCGTGATCTCTAATGGTGCATGGACGCTCAAGGTCATCATTATTGGCTTCTTATCAACCTCAAGACCTTTCTCAGTATCACCAGCTAATTTCCCAACGTCAAGGTTGAAATGTACATTCGTTGAATCCTTAGGTTTTTGGGAAATCGAGGGATATTTCCCTTGTCCAATTTCATGTTTCTTGAAAATAAGGGCAGCCTTCCCGTTATTTCCTTTACCAAAGGCGACATCCATTCTCTCATTCACGTTAACAATTTTCAACTCCATCTCAAATTGAGGGTATGGCTGCGGATGAATATTATTCTTTTGGCCATGACCATTTGAAGGGTGCGTAACGTTCTTGAAATGGATATTAGTGATGGAAAATTCAGGACATTTGGGGGTGTACAAAGCGCGAATGATCAACACAACGATTCCTATCATGATAGCAAGACCAAGTAACACGGCTAGGATCAAACAACAACATGTGCATTTGTTTTTCTTTTGAGAATCTGGCTTACGATGATTTTCAACAATTCGGGCATTTTCAGGAGGAGGGACACGATAAACTTGATCACGAGGGATTTGGACAACGTAGGTCTGATCCGGCGAACGAGACGGCGTGAGAGAGAGGCGCAGCGATGTGGTTGATGAAAGGGGATTTCTGGCCTTGCCGTTTATGTCGCCGGCAGGTGGTGGTGACCGCTCCTCCATGCCAGAATGAGGAGCGGTAGACGTGAAGTTATTGAGGGACACAAAGGATAGGTGAAATAAAGGGAAGAATGGTATTTGTTTTGCATGGAAATAATTAGGAGTTTGCCATAATTGGCATCAAAGGTTGATTGAGAAATTTTGGTTTTGTGCAAATGAACCGTTAGATGGTGTCATTTTTCGGTTAATATGCCACATTAATATGTGAATCTTTGCACTCCAATTAGATACCAGTTTGTCCTATAAAAAAAACTATTGTGAGTTGTGAATTAAAATAACATAAAAAATATCAAATAGCAAATAGTTAATACCTCCACCTTAATTTGTATGACATTACTCTAAATACTAAATGTTCTTATTCTCGCATTTCGAGACCATCTTTTTTCCAAAACAGAGGAGTACTCAGAATTATACCGGGAGATAATCCAAAAGCAATAGCTTGGTCCTAATACTGTGAGGTGCAGAGGTAGTATCAAGTATGCACAAATATGTGATTGGGCCTATGTATGAGAAATATTTCAGAATTATTCAGAGAGGTAGTATGCACTAGAGTTTGGGCCTAAGTCAAAAATATTTCTTCTAATTACAGAAATTATTGGGTAGGTTGAGAAGTTGGCTTGAGATGATTTAGTCATGTCTAACCTCAAGATACACAGGTCAGGTGCAAAGATACACAGGTCAGGTGCAAAATCATAATGAATGAAGATCCTTAAAGAGGACGAAATAGACCTAAAATCAAATATGTAAGAAAATTATCTCAAAAGGTTTACAACCTCTTTGAATCTATTCAAAATTAACGAAATAGGGTACCATAGAATAAAAAGATCTATATAGGCAATACCAATTAGTTTAAAATATATTACTATAATTATGTTAGCATGTTTACTTTAGGTCCATGCTTTCTAGAAGTACCCATATTAGGGATTTTCACGGTAATAGAAAGTGAAGAGAACTTCTAGCTAATACTCTTAATTTTTATTTTTATTTTTGTTCCGCATAATGTTGGTCTTAGATATATCTAAATGAAGAACCATGGTTAATGATGATTCATAAATATAGACAGGGGTGGATTTATAGCTCAATATATGGGGTACGTGAACCTATGGTTTCTGTGGCAAACAAGGTATTTTATGTACATATATTCTATAATTGATCTAATATTATTTGTTGGCACTCATGCAACAAATAGAAAGTAGTGTACTTTGTTGAATGTTGAGATATTTACCTAGAGAAGTATGGACCAATTCTCATTTAATACTTTCTTTTTTTGTGCTTTCTTTAATGGTGCAGTCATGTTTTAAAAATCATAAATTCGTCTCTGAATATAGACCATACCAACATGTTTGGGACTGGTCATAGTAATTGTTAAAATTACTGGGGCCGAAAAATCTAATTAATAAGAACTTGGTACGAGTTATGCTCTTAAATAAGCTGTTCATGGGATACTTCACTCTTCATTATAGTAACAGTCGAAAGAAAATGAGGTACTTCACTCTTCATTATAGTAATACCACCATTTTTCTGTTTGATGCACGGAGTATACTTTTTTAGATAAATTAAGACTCTAAAACGTGACTGCCTCACAGCATTGTTAGTGTGTAAACCGTGGAAAGGGAGTTGAACCTAACCTTAAAGAAGTGGCAACTATTTTGCCAAAATTCCAAAAAAAAAAAAAAGGGGGGGGGGNAGTTCAAACTTTAAACCCGCAGTCTTTGAATTTCTCTAAAAAAATGTCGTCATTATGTCTGAGCTTTACCGAAAATCCATCACAATTTAATGCATTTGGGGAACGATTAATATAAGAACCCCCAAGAATATACCTCCAGCATAAGGTTTTTTGGATCTTTCTTTCTACATAAAATTAAGGAACATGTCGACAAAGCCAACAAAAATTACTTAAGCAAGTTCCCTTAGTCCCAAGATAATTAGTTTATTTCTCTTATTGGATTGTCTCATTTTTGTAACTCATCAACTATGTTCTAATCACAAGTTAGCTTGGATCAGCTATATAAATCACTTATATCCCATTATATTAGGGTCAATATCATTCAAATAATACAAGTAATTGATTTTAAGTATCATAATTTTTTTACGGGATGAATTTTGCAATTTCGAAATATAGAAGTAGAAAATATCCTTATGTTTCTCAACAAATTCTAAATAACTTATATTTACATTTTTTTTAATATTCTTGTCAATTGAAATTGTGACAAGCTAAGTGAAATTGAGAGTGAATTAAATATAGAAGTGTAGACATATACAATTTATTGGGTCTAATCCATACAAAACTTAGATTAAATTCATTTGGGTTAAATAATTAATTTGGATTTTATAAATTAAAATTAGTCCATTTTATTATTTTCAAGCCCAAAGTCCATTTTAGCTTAAGGCCCAGACTCATGCCATGTGTCAAGTGACATAGCATGTCCGGTCAAACCCAAAGCCAACAAGATGATGCCATTTGTAAATGATGTGGCAATCCCAGTCCAAAACAGTGTCCAATCAAGAATTGCCAAGTGTCTAAAATGACATGTCTTGGCCAATCACAAACAAGCTTATCACATAGCTTGTGTGATAAGTTTGATAACTCACATGAGCCAATTAGAATCAAGCAAAAGAGTTCATATGTAGCTGGATTGTTCATCTTCTACCGTTATAAATAGAGGGGTTACATAACTCTCTATGGACATTCAGAGTTGGAGAAGATCATTCCGCAATTGGTGAAGGCATTTGCAAACAGAGAGATCAATCATCAAGTGCAAAGTTCTTCAACAAAGGAGTGATCAACGGAGTTCTTCCCGGAGATCAACCTAAAACAACAAAGTGTTGCTCGACAATCTGGGCGATTAAATACATCACAAGGAGGTCTGCATCATCTTACCTTCGAGAAAGATGCTTCGCAAGCCCTCAAATCACGGAGAATTTCAGAGAGGAGAATCAAGGGATACATAGAATTGTACTCACAAATATTCATCAATAAAATCTCTTTTTCTTCATATTATTTTTGTTGCAATTTATTTTCTTTACTACAAATATTTGTTCGCCCAGTGGGATCAATTATGCCTTTCATCTCTCCTTCTTGCAAGTTGAAAATGTCAAACTTCATATCTGCTGCTGCAATGGCCTTTCGCAAGTGTGATGATATTTCATGCAAAAAATCTACTGTTGCTGCATCCACTGAGCTCAGTTATGTTGGCCCAATCACTCGAAGCAAGTTCAAGGCTGGTGGCTTGGATGGACCCGAATACTTCGCCTCCTTGGAGATGGCAAAGATGAGCAGATCTCACATGACGTCTGCTACCGCAATCATTGGGGGCAACACCCCATTCTCGCTATTTAACGAACTTTCTCAAACAGCCTCCAACCTGGATGAATTTGAGGATTTGGTAGATTCTCCAGTTTCAACAAAAGTCAACGCCTTAATGACTAACGCAACTAATGTGGATAAAATGTTTGCCATGATGGAACAGACTATAGAAATCTTGAAGAAATTTGTTGAAAACAAAGACCTTCAAATCGCTCAACTTATGAACAAATTGGAGGCCTATTCACCTAGAGAGTCGAGCCACGTCCTTCCTTGTTCACCAGTCTTTTCCTCGCAAAAAATGGTTGTTGAGGAATCGCTTGCCAAGTTCAGCATTCAGAAGGAAAAGTAATCCACTTCGGTGGCTGCATTATCTGTCCAACAATTGCAAGACATGATAACAAACACCATCAGAGCTCAATATGGCGGGTCATCACAAAGTTCGCTTTACTGCTCTAAGCCTTATACTAAGAGGATTGATTGTCTAACTATGCCAACCAATTATCAACCACCAAAGTTGAATCAATTTGATGGAAAAGGAAACCCAAGGCAACATATTCCCCACTTTGTCGAGACTAGTGGCAATGCTGGAACGCATGGTAACCTTTTGGTAAAACAGTTTGTTCATTCACTGAAAGAGAATGCATTTGACAGGTATATTGACTTAGAGCCCGAGTCCATTGATATTTGGGAGCAAATTAAGAAGGAATTCCTCAATCGTTTTTACAATACCCGAAGAACTGTAAGCATGATAGAGTTGACAGGCACCAAGCAAAGGAAAGACGAGCCTGTGGTGAATTACATCCATCGTTTGAGAGCGTTAAGTTTGGACTACAAGGATCATCTTTCAGAAATATATCTTGTGGAGATGTGCATTCAAGGAATGCACCGGGGCCTTTTGTACATCCTATATAGGATCAATCTGCGAACTTTTGAACAACTTTCAACGTGAGTGCACGACATGGAGTTAAGCGTCGCAAGTCATGGAAAGGCATCTCCATTTGCTGATCAAAAGGAGTTCAAGAAAAATATTGTGTCACGACCCAAAATCCAAAAAGGTCGTGATAGCGCCGGACACCACTGTCAGGCAAGCCAACCATAATCAATTAACTTAATTACTCATTTTAGTATTTTTGAAATAAAAATATCTTTAATAAAATTATAGAGATAAAAATCATAGAGTAAATGATAAATATTTTTGCAGCTAAATTTCTAAACAATTCGCAACCATTCCCAAAACACGATGTCACAAGTGCATGAGCATTTACTAGAGAATTAAAAATAAAATATAATATCTGTCCAGAATACAAATTAGACAGAAAAATATTATAACTCTGAAAGAGACTCTGTTAGCTGCGAATCGTAATATAGAATACAGCTCACCTATGTCCCAAAAATTATTAACCACACCTTTGCGCCCACAAGGCCGCTATACATATATGTACCTGCACAATAAAATGTGCAGCAAGTGCAGTATGAGTACGAAAACAACGTGTACCCAGTAAGTATCAAGGCTACTCTCGAAGTGGTAGAGACGAGATAGCCGACTTTGACACTCACTATGGGTCAATAATAATAATTGGAATAAATTATAATTATTCAAATCAGCATGGTTCACAGAATTAACAATAATTTTATTCAATTAGCAGAAATAATAAGGATCCTTCAAATGCAATAATTTTCTAATTTATTAATTAAA